TAACTGTCCACGAAGTCACCCACCTGGAAGTGACATCTCTCCTTATTGGTGGTCATAGAGCCATCACGTGAAATAGGCATTTATGTGTATATTGACTTTGATACAGCCTTGTTAGTTCACATAAAAATATGTATATGTAGCAAATTACATTTTGTGTCCTGACTTTGTCATAATCCCAGCTGCTTAATTAGAAAATAACATAAAAAAAACAAGGACAGGCAATGGGAAAAAAAGAAAAGAGAGAGAGAAGAAGAAGAAGAAAAAGAAAAAAAAAAGCTCATGATAAAAGTAATTTCAAGTACTTTTTTTTTCATTAATCTAAAACACAGGGAACAGACTAAGTAAAACCCATAACTTAATGACTTAAAAAATATATATTTATACGAAAAGAAATCAGATGTCAAGAGGATGAGAAATAATCAAATTTTATATCTTTGTGCACATCCCTATATATCACAGGAAATGTAATACCGAGTTAAGCCCTCCCCTGTCACTATTATGTCATTAGTTTTTGAATAAACGGTAACATCACTGGAATCTAAGAGTGACTAAGAAAGTGTGAAGGAAAAAACAATGACAGTAAGTGAAGCCTATTGATAATAAATTGTGTAATATTACAAGATATTATTCTTCATTAGTATTTTGGTAGACCTTCCCAACCAGAATAACAAAGGATGTAAAAAAAATCTCAAATGAATGGAATGCCATCCAGAAAAAAAACAGCATCATACCTGCATTAATAACATGCTTAAAAAGATTTTACAAAAAGAAAAACAAAAAAAAACAATATGTTAGAAATTATACAGTCTTGTTATCAGAGCAATGATTATAAGAACAATATTGGTACTTATATAACAATATCAGTAAAAAAAGTGATAGTACCAGAGACTATCACAAGAAAAAAACAGAAAAAATAAGACCATAATAAACTATCAATATCAATAACATTAAACCAGTTAGATAATGACTCTTTTTATGATTAACTCATACAAAGAAAGGATATAAAACAAAAAAATATATTAACTTCATCTGTTTTAATACATATTTTTCAAGCAGTACAATTTAACACTTATCAAAATATCTTTTCTAAACAAAGTAACATTATTTGCAGTAGTAGTAATATTCACAATCACTTATCCTTGTATCTATTATTATGATTTCTTTATTATTGAAATTTATAAAATGAAAAAAAAACACTATGCCTTTCAGCATGTTAGATTTTACAAATATATCAGCTAAACCAAATCAAAAGAATCATTGCATGGGTGGGAAATGAGTGAGGTCCGCTGTTGACAAGACTCCTAAACTGTCCTTCTCCATGTGGCCTCGAATGTGTCTGTTCAGATTTCCCTTCATTGCTGTTTGATAGGGACAGTGTGGGCAGGAGTAAGGCTTCTCTCCTGTATGTGTGCGTATGTGCCGCTTCAAATTACTGCCATCTGCAGTCTCATATGGGCAGTGTGGGCACAGATAAGGCTTCTCACCAGTATGTATCCGCATATGCCTCTTCATCTGGCTGGCATCTGCTGGTCTGTACTGGCAGTGGGGACAGGATAAGGGGTTCTCCCAGTTGTGGGTGAGGCAGTGCTCAAACAGGAGTGTTTCTTGGATAGTGGTGAAGGGGCAGTGGGGGCACTGGTGGCACTTGCTGCTGCTTGACTGGGTCTTGGCAGGTCCCCCCCTCTCACGAACCATCTGTAGGAGATGGCTAGCATATTTATGGGAACAAACTTTGAAGGAAGCAGCAGTTAAACTTGCAGACAAAGTACCTCCAAATTCAGTATAGGGTATATGCAAAAGCTAAAATAATCAATGAATAAAATGAATAAAAATACCAAAATACTAAACTCTATGTAAAAACCCCAAAGAATCATATCTTACAGTGATAAGAAGCAAAAATGTTAGTTTCTTCTAATAAATCTAAGAGCAAGCTGCATGAAACAACAAATCTTCAGAAGTTGTTTTGGGAGAACATATTACATCAATCTCTTTACTACTTTATACACTGAAATGAAATGAAGGTCAGCCTGTTTCCTGTTCTAAAATGGGTATCATGTAACAAACTTTACATTCGCAGAGAGAACTTCTCTAGATATGCAACAAAATTCACTATTGCAGTGTCATTAATAAATAATGATTAAAGAAATAAAGGTTGTCCAGTTCTGGAATCAGGTAAATGTTTATCTTACCAAGCTTGTAAAGAAAACATCACTATAAAGATACTGTTTTATTTTGTACAGCCATGTGTGACATAGATGATGATGTTAAAAGCCACTACATATCTATAACTATTCACACTATTATGAAATACATTGAAGTTTTTAATGAGATCCATTTTTTTCCTAAAGACATACCTGTAACATCATCTAAATATAACAGGAATATAATGCTTAGTAATCTAAAAAGAAAGAAAGAAAGAAAGAAAAAGTTTGATTTTCAAATGGCACAAAGGTAATATCATTATGAGTATTTCATGAGGACTCACCACAGTACACACACAAAAAAAAAAACATTGTTTATTTCTGCATGTAATAAAAATGTAGTGAATTTGTCACATTACCTACAAATTATTTATCAATACCTTTATCTATCCTACACAATATGAGGTCTAATCTAATAAGCGAAAGGTATTTCTTCTTTCTAAGCTTGAACAACCTTTAACATCAGGAAGTACATGGTACTCCTTTTCTATCTCTCGCAACATGAACATGAGCAGAGTAATGGAGACGGAATAAGAATGGAAACAGAAAATGAACACATGCAGCTGTCAGGATTCCCCCCCCCCCCCTTAGTAGTCAACAAATATTTCTTTCTCTTAAAAAACTAATGTTTCAGTTTTACAGATATCAGTTTCTATATCCTTGAATATGTATTGCATTCTATACATTAGATAAAACATATATTGTCATCTCCACAGAAAATAGTAATTTAAGAACAATATGTAAGAAGTGAGAGAAAAAGAGAGAGAGAAAAAGAGAGGGAGAGAGAGAGAGAAAAAGAGAGGGAGAAAGAGAGAGAGAGAGAGAGAGAGAGAGAGAGAGAGAGAGAGAGAGAGAGAGAGAGAGAGAGAGAGAGAGAGAGAGAGAGAGAGAGAGAGAGAGAGAGAGAGAGAGAGAGAGAGAGAGAGATATCGTGTGAATATGTGTGTGTGTATGTGTGTATGTGTGTATGTGTGTATGTGTGTATGTGTGTGTGTGTGTGTGTGTGTGTGTGTGTGTGTGTGTGTGTGTGTGTGTGTGTGTGTGAAGTGTTTGTCACTCATGTGTACACATCCAAGAACAAACAGACATGCATACATGAATACATGCATGCACACAAACACAAGTACATGCACACACCGACCCCCCTCCCCCCCACACACACAACACACACACACACACACACATATACAATCATTTATATAATATAAAATTCCTTTTATGAACCATTAGTGCACACTAACTGATTCTAATTGCTTTTTACATAACAAATTGATAGTAAATCCATCTCTATAACATACAATTAAGTTTTAAAAGAAGTTATATAGCAATTGTCATTTTTTCCATTCTTGAGTCTCGAGGCCACATACAAGGTTGTAATATTCAGGTTTGTTTGGTGTATAAAGTGAATTATCATATCATCATATCATGTAGAGCATCTGTGGCATATTCATATAGGAACATGCATTCTAGGCTACAGTTGCCTGAAAGGGGTTGGCAAGGTGTAAGAAGTCAAAAGTTGTTTTATCGGCTAATTTTGAAATTCAATTTGCCTATAATCCCTTATTGATATGAATTTTTGAATTCTTAGAGATCAGACACTGAAATTGTATGTTCCATTTTTCTGATTACAATATCCCTTGAAATGTGACAGCACATAGTCAACAAGAATAATATATCAAGAACATGAAATATATAAAACTGACATCAGAAATAAACGATACTTTTCATGGTGAAATTAAGTTTCATTATCAACTGAATTTCCCATTTGCTTACACACACCTTAAAACTGAAAAACAAATGCTTAATAAAATAACTTGAAGTCTTAGCTGCCTATGAACAAATCACCTTTTTAATGTAGAAGTATATGTGACTGTGAGAGTGAGAGTGAGTAAGTGTGTGAGTGAGTGAGTGAGTGAGAGTGAGTAAGTAAGTGAGTGAGTAAGAGAGAGAGAGAGAGAGAGAGAGAGAGAGAGAGAGAGAGAGAGAGAGAGAGAGAGAGAGAGAGAGAGAGAGAGAGAGAGAGAGAGAGAGAGAAAGAGAGAGAGAGAAAGAAAGAGAAAAAGAGAGAGAGAGAAAGAAAGAGAAAAAGAGAGAGAGAAAAAGAGAAAGAGAAAGAGAGAGAGAGAGAGAAAGACAGAAAGAGAGAAAGAAAAAGAGAAAGAGAAAAAAGAAAAGGAAAAAGAGAAAGAGAGAGAGAGAAAGAGGGAAAGAGAGAGAAAGAGAAAGAGGGAAAGAGAAAGTGAGAGAGAGAGAAAGAGGAAGAGAGAGAGAAAAAAAGTGTGTGTTTATGAGTATATGTAAAAGTGTGCATACTTGTGTGTTTGTTAAATTATAACTGAAAATATGATTAGTCAGTTACTATTATCCTCATAAGTAATAAATACAGGTTCAAATATATTCTGTGACTGAAAACAAATATATATCAAGTTAACAAACAATTAAAAAAAAAACAAGTCCTATAATTTGTCCTAAATAACAAAAACTTAAAAGAACATTTCTTTCTTTTTATAATCTGATACAAAATGCCAACAAAGAAAACAATAATACAGTAGTCACGCATAGAGAAAGGGAAACAACTTCATGTTCTGTTGTACAATATACCAAGATGGCACAATGTACAGATTAAGTACAGAAATTATTCAAAGTGCAACTTGTGAACTACAGATGCCTGAACTCTTGCTGCCTCTGAGATACTTATCTATAATATCAGGTAATCAGGCTTACATGGACTGAATCAATACTCTAATATTGAGAAATAACAAATACTAAATGAAACATAGAAATTATCTATACGCATGTCCACTGTTGTGTGTTCTTAAATGAATCTTTAGGTTACTGCTTTGAGTACTTCGGAATGGACAAAAGGGACACAGGTACGGCTTCTCCCCAGTGTGAGTGCGAATGTGTTTCTTCAGATCACTACTTGTTGCAGAGTGATGTGGGCAGTGAGGGCATGAAAAGGGTCTCTCTCCAGTATGGATACGAATGTGTATCTTTAGGTTATCGCTGCGGGAGCAACGGAAAGGACAGTGTGGGCATGAGTATGGTTTCACTTCTGGATGTGTACGATAATGCATATCCATCTCTGCCTGTTGGATGCAAGTATAGGGGCACTTGCAGCATTCAAGCAACTTGACTGCTGTACTACTTTCTTCAGTCCCTGTTCTTCCTCCTCTGCCAGTCCTCATGCCGTCACTGGCCAGCATCACCTGTTGAGGATGCCCAACTTATTCTTGTTGCAAACAATAGAACTTTTGAGAAGAACTTAAATCACTCTACTATGCATCATATCTGCTAATTTTACACCTTCTGGATTATACAGCTAATACATGCTCTTTTGTTGAGAGTAAGACAAATAAAAGAACACGCGATAACCAAATGGCTGAACTGATATAAGCTTGGATATAGCTTTGGAACAAACTCATATTCCATCTGTTGTTCAAAACCTAGTTGGTTCCAAAGTAGTTATCTTATACCTTTCAATTAAAAGGCGTATTCTAATTCACTTTATTCACTTTATATTAATAAAGTAACTTTATAGCCATCTTCAGGTGTTTAATAAATTTTCCACTGCATACTTCAATCTTGATATCTAAAGAAGCCAGTCACATGACTATAGCAGAACTTTTAAACAAAGACAAGGACAACATGAGATCATGAGATGGAATATGTAATTAGCAAAATTATGAAACGGTTTAATAGAATGAAACAACATCACCATTATGGAAATTGCTTTGAGAGGAAATGTAACAAAATTTGTTGCTGTTTTATATTTACAGACTAGAACTGTAAATCTCAAATCAGTTGTTCAAGAGGCATCTGCTAATCTTTCATCACAACATTGATAACTCTTGTGACCAAACATTAATTTCTTACACTTTATTCTAATACTTTCACAAAGTAAAATACATATTATCACAGTATAATATCTCTTTAAAAGAGATAATGAATTCATAAGTATTGTATACTCATATCTGAATACTTTGGGTAATATCTTCTAAATCCAGGAAAATCTTTCCTTCATTTCTTTTCTTATAACCTTTCAAAGGGGCTGAAAGAAACTTGTTGCTGTTGAGCATAGGATTCCTAACACAGACTGGAAGCAGCACACGATTCACTTGTAGCATAACACTATGTTAACTAAAAGTATTCCACATTTGGCAAAACAGTTTTACCTCATTTATAACTAAATAAAATACATGCAAGCAAGTAAACATCTTATTTGTACTTGTTTATTGAGAAAATGAAAAATCTGGAATGTTTTCTTTTTTTCGTGCTAATATAAAGCTTATTCTATATTTGAAAAAGAATGAAAAGAAAATTGAATGGCAATTCTCTGGAAGCCTTTTCATAAGATCAACACATAACCCTTTATAATCAAATGTCATTCACACAAGCATACACAAAATCATAGACATGCAGAGTGAAAGACACATAAAAATAATGAAAAGCAGAGACAAAAATAAACACACAAACACACACACACACACACACACACATACACACACACATCCACCAATAATTACTATTATTATTATTATTATTATTACTATTATCATTACTATTATTATTACTATCATCATTATTATTATCATAAAAAAAATGTAAAGATACAGAAATAAAAAATGCACATATACAACCCAAAACCAAATGTGTATGTTAACATATGTAAAAATGCATGTTCATCCACTTACAAACAGATAAACATACCCACAAACATACATTCTAACACAGACACATTCACACTTGTAAGCAAAAACACAGATAAACATATATGCATCACCTATCCTCATAAACCATTCATCAGAAGCATAACAAATAAAATCTAATTATTTTTTCTAAATAATACCGTCATCTACAAATACATATCAATGTCACTGGTACTTAAAGTTATGTAATTGCGTTTGGCTTTTCTCCATTGTGGGTACGTAGATGTATCTTGAGATTGCTTTTCTGGGTACAGCGGAATGGACAGTAATGGCAAGAATATGGTTTCTCTCCAGTGTGAGTTCGAAGATGAATTTTGAGATTGCCGCTCTGTGTGCAGCGAAATGGACAGCACGGACAGATGTAAGGCTTCTCTCCAGTATGAGTTCTCAAATGGACTGCATAGTGAGCATACTTGGGCGTGGAGTAGCCACAGTAGGAACACTGATGTATCTTGTTGGTTGAGGTTTGACTCATGCCAAAGCCTTTCACGTCTTCTCCACTTGAAGTCAGTCCATCAGGGTCCCGTCCCACCTGTAGGGGATGCCCATCATTTTTATTGCAATTCAGTGCTATAAATTATAGATCTTAA